TCATTTTTTTTCTAAGTCTTTGAATGGGCAGAACTAGAAAATATAAATTTGTAAATTTAAAAACATTAAAAATAAAAACACATTATATTATTATTGTTGATACTTCCAATTCAAATTTAGGACTACATGGCTCTTATTTACCTTTTGTCTTAAAACTGTATCTCCTTTCTCCTTTGCCGAAAACCCAGTCCTCAGCCATATTGGGAGTGACAGAATCAGTTCACATAGCTACTCATTTATTTTATCTCACAACATACAACAACCTCAGAATACCAACACCAACACTACAGGCAACAATAGGATAACCAAAAAGCAGTTTAAGATCTTTTAAAATTCTTCTTTGTCCTTAGAGTATATGCCACTAAGGATGTTCGGTCAGTTTTAATGTTACTTGGAATAATTTCTCTTGGAATTTATACCATCAGTTTGACCTTTGTTTTCATTTTGTTTTTGATTTTGGGGAATTACTTTAAATTTTTAAATTTTACATTATGTTCATTATTTACACAATAAGGTATATTTTTAAAAGTCTAGCTTTTATCTTTGTGTCTTCTATCTTATTCCCTCCCTCTTCTATAGGTAACTATTTAAAAAAATCTTTAGTGACTTATTTTTCTTTTATTTGTTTTATATTTATTTATTTATTGTTTGAGATGGAGTCTTGCTCTGTCATCTAGGCTGGAGTGCAGTGGAGCAATCTCGGCTCACTGCAACCTCTGCCTCCCAGGTTTAAGTGATTCTCCTGCCTCAGCCTCCCAAGTAGCTGGCATTATAGGCCTGTACCACCATACTTGGCTAATTTTTGTATTTTTAGTAGAGATAGGGGTTTCACCATGTTGACCAGGCTGATCTTGAACTTCTGACCTCAGGTGATCCGCCTGCCTTGACTTCCCACAGTGCTTGGATTATAGGTGTGAGCCACTGAGCCTGACCTATTTGTTTTAAAATGTAAGCAAACACTTATGTTCCAGCACCCTTTCTTTGATAAAAGGTAGCAAATTAAACAGTTTTCCCCACCTTGCTTTTTAATATTATATCTCGGAGATTTTTCCATGGTAGTAATAATATATAATTTTTAGTAATAATATATAATTTTAAATATTTGTATAGTATTTATATATATTTAAAATTATATATTAATAAATAAAATTTAATAAATAAAATATTCTAAGTAGACATTAGACTATTTTATTTACTTCCCTAAAAGTTTGTTTATTGAAGTTGGCCTCAAAAACTATTTGAATCTTCTCATTGGGAAAATAGATTGCCTTATGTTCAGAGTTGTCTTATTTGGGAGCATAGCTGAAAACTACAAAATAGTAACTTTGGAACAGTAAGCTGGAAATCTGAGCGGGATCTAGAAGGAAGGTAATATGGTTTGGCTATTCATCCCCACCAAATGTGTTGAAATGTAATCTCCAGTGTTGGAGATGGGGCCTATTGGGAGATATTTGGGTCATGGGGCAGATGCCTTGTAAATGTCTTGGTGCCATCTTCACAGTAATGAATGAGTTCTTGCTCTATGAGTTCACACAAGATCTGGTTGTTTAAGAGTCTGGGCCCTCCCCTCTCTTGCCATGTTATACACCGCTTCCCTTTTGCCTTCTGCCATGATTGTGAGTTTCCTGATTCTCACTCGAAGCAGATGCTAGCATCACACTTCTTGTACAGCCTGCAGAACTGTGAGCCAAGATAAACCTATTTTCTTGATAAATTACCCAGTTTCAGGTATTCTGTTATAGCAACGCAAACAGACTAATACAGAAGGCGAGGATATAGTGTGCTGGAGAGTTTGGGAAAATGGCATGTTAGGTGACTAGATGACCTGACAATATGAGCAAAGACATGAAGGTAGGAATGTACACAGTGCTCTCAGGATCAGTCAGCTTGGTTGGAGTTGCAGGTTTGAGAAGGGAAATCGATTGGCAAGGAAATCAGCCAAGAGTTTTTTTGAATTAATTCAGGGTCTTGTGATTCAGCGTATTAATAAGATAGGTATCATTATATTCATTCTTTTAAAAGGTTTTAATTTTATTCTGTAATTGACAATATTTAAGTAATATTGTACATATTCATTGGGGTGCATAGTGGTGTTTCAATATAGGTAATGTATTGTGATCAGAGTAATTAGCATGTCTATCATTTAAAACATTTATTATTTCTTTGTGTTGAGAATACTCAATATCTTCCCCCTAGCTGTTTGAAACCATATTATAGTCATCCTACAGTCGTATAGAACACTAAAACTTATTCTTCCTATATAGTTGTAATTTTTTATTCTTTAGCAAATGTCTCCCTACACTCTTTCCCCTTGCCTTCCCAGCCTCTGGGATTCTCCCTTATACTTCTTACTTCTATGAGATAAACTTTTTTTAGTTTCTACATATGACTGAGAACATGCAATGTTTAACTTTCTGTTCCTGGCTTATTTCACTTAACATAATGTCCTTCAGTTCCATCCGTGTTGCCACAAATGGCAGGATTTCATCCTTCTTATGGCTGAATAGTATTCCATTGTGTATTTATGCCATATTTTCTTTTCTTTTTTTTTTGAGATGGAGTCTTGCACTGTTGCCAGGCTGAAGTGCAGTGGCGCTATCTCGGCTCACTGCAACCTCTGCCTCCCGGGTTCAAGCGATTCTCCTGCCTCAGCCTTCCAAGTAGCTGGGATTATAGGTGCCTGCCACCATGCCCAGCTAATTTTTAAAATTTTTAGTAGAGATGGGGTTTTACCAATGTTGGCCAGGGTGGTCTTGATATCCTGATCTCGTGATCCACCTGCCTTGGCCTCCCAAAGTGCTGGGATTACAGACTTGAGCCACCACGCCTGGCCCACATTTTCTTTATCCATTCATCTGTTGTTGGACATCTAGGATGATTCCATATCTTGGCTCTTATGAATAGTGCTGTGATAAACATGGGGATGCAGATGTCTGTTTAATATAGTGATTTCCTTTCCTTTGGATAAATGCCCAATAGTGGGATTACTGGATCATATAGTAGTTCTATTTTGAGGAACCTCCACTGTTCTCCACAGTGGCTATACTAGCTTATATTCCCACCAACAGTGTATAAGCATTCGTTCTTCTTCACATCCTTGCCAGCACTTGTTCTATTTTGTCTTTTTGATAATAGCCATCCTAACTGGAGTGAGATGATGCCTCATTGTGGTTTTGCTTTGCATTTTCCTAATGATTAGTGACATTGAGCATTTTTTCATATATTTGTTGACTGTTTATCTTTTGAGAATTATGTATTCATTCTTTTAACAAAGATTTATTGAGCACCTATTATGTGAAAAGTCTGTGCTTGGTGCTGGGATACAGTGGTGAGGAAGATAGATGTAGTCCCTCCCTCAAGGAACAGAGGAGACTTTTTTTTTTTTTTTTTTTTTTTGAGATGGAGTCTTGCTCTGTTGCCCATGTTGGAGTACAGTGGTGCAATCTCAGCTCACTGCAACCTCCTCCTCCCAGGTTCAAGCGATTCTCCTGCCTCAGCCTCCTGAGCAGGGGGGACTACAGGCACACACCACCATGCCCACCTAATTTTTGTATTTTTAGTAGAGACAGGGTTTCACCACGTTGGTCAGGCCAATCTTGAACTCGTGACCTCAGGTGACCCACCTTCCTTGACCTCCCAAAGTGTTCGGATTACAGGCATGAGCCACCATGCTCAGCAGCGAAGACATTTTATTACTACCAGAATTGCAGTGTGCTCTGAAGATATGTAAATGGGGGACCTAGCTTAGTTTGGAAGTGGGGGTGGGTAATCAGAAAAGGCTTTCAAGTAAGTGTGTGGAGGCTGAGATCAGAGATGATGAATAAGTATTAGCTTCTGCTGGTGGGGGTGGGAGTGGCAGGGAGAGAATGGTAGTTCCAGGAAGAGAGAGTAGCACTAAGTAAAGAAGGTGAGTGGAGTTCCAGAACTAAAAAAAATGCCCAATACGATTTAAAGCATTGGAGAGTGTAGTGAAGAGTGGATGAGATACGAAAATTAATTTTTTAGAGAAATTGCAAAGGAAGACTTGGTAAGAAAAGGGAACTAGCTACCTGAAGGCATATGGTAGGCACTCATACATGTGGAATGGATGAATAAGTAACTTTGAAATTTCACCCGTGGGCTAAGAAATGATGGTGCCATTGGTAGGAATAAATAAATGAGCACAGGGTGTTAGTTTTGGAAGTCAAGTTAGTTTGGTTTTAGACACATGGATCTTGAGGTGTGGCATCCTAGTGGCTTATCAATGACTGAACCACAGTTTCAGACTACGGTTGAAACTGTAAGTCTCAAGTGAGGAAAACAAAGGGTAGAGAGCTCTTTCTTTGAAATTACCAGAGGAAGAAAAGGCCTAAGAATGAGTCAGAGGAGACCTGACAAGAGGAGCAGGATGGAGAATTTCAAGGACAGTGTGGCAAGCCGGCTCAAATGCTGCAAAGAGGCCAGAGAGACTAATCTATACCAAATGGGACAACCTGCTTCACAGCACTTGCAGAATGCCAGCATGTTATACAGAGGTATACATGGAGTGGGGAGGTGGAAAAGTCATGAGATTTATAGCCACAAGACCTGGGCTCATGACATCTCCTTGTAGTCCCAACTGCTCTGGAGGCTGAGGCAGGAGAATTGCTTAAACCCAGGAGTTCAAGGCTGCAGTGAGCTATGATTGTATCACTGCAATATAGCCTGGGTGACCCATTCTCTAAAAAGTGAAAAAAAAAAAAAAAAGACTTAGGCTCAGTCTTAGCTCTTTCTTTTATGACATTTATGACCCTGGGATCATTACTTAATGTCTGTGAGTCTCAGTCTGCTCATTTACAGAATGAGGAAGAGAATGGCTGTCATATTCACTTCTAAAAAGTATTGTGAAGTTCAAATGCAAAAATACATGTAAACCATTGTGTTTTCCCCCTAAGTATCTCAAAAGGATCTGGCATACACAAGGTTTGTATATTTGAATGATGTATGTGTATTACTGTGACTATTTATCTGTGTTTAAACAGAGACCAGATGAAGAAGCTGTGGTGGATCAGGGTGGGACCAGTACAATTCTCAACATTCACTATGAAAAAGAAGAGCTGGAAGGTAAGAACTGCCATGCTGTGTGATCAGGGAAATTGGTGAGAGGCAGCCTGGTGTGGGAAGACCTGGTTCTGTGTCCTAACTCTTTCTCACTAGCTGTCAGACCTTGGGGAAAATAACTCAATTTTCTTTAGCCTCACTTTTCTCATCTGGCAAGTAAAAGTAGGAATACTAATACCTGTCTTACTTTATAGGGATATCATTAGGATCTAACTGCCAACATGGGAGATAGTGCTTTGGACACTGTGAAGTCCAGTATAAATATTAACAAATAACCTGTTCTTTGAGAATGTGATGTACTCAGTTCAGTGCACTGATTCTTGACAACTGCCTGGAAATACCAATATATACAAAACTTAAAAAGAAAATAAAATACAAATAGTTTTAAAAACTCAGTTTGGCTATAAAACCCTATTTTTACCCCATTTCCAATATTTACTGTTTCTATTCTATGCCCATTTCTGCCTGGTGTTTTCATCTAAACAAGAGGGAAAACAGGAACACACCTGTGACATACTTTTGAGTTCATAATGCCAAAGTTATATAAAAGCCCAGCTGAAGTGGAAAGGAAGGAAGAGGCATTTTGGATGACCCACTCGGTCGAGTTTGCCTTGTTTCAGCTCTTCCTTTCTCTGCATCTCACCCACAGCTCTTTATATGACCATTGTGTGGTGTCCTGCTTTCCTTCTTCCCCTGGGGACTAGCTGGTGTGCTAGGAGTTGGACCCACACCTGGCCATGGTTTCCTGATTAGTGTTGATGCTCAGTTTCATTAGAGGAAGGCTCGTGTCCAGTATAGTTTTAATGAGAAGCCACATTTGGCACAAAAGCCTTTGTGAAATTTCTGCAGCATCCCCTGCAATGTTGAAGGCTATGATACAGCAACTTTCTGATGCCTGAGACAGCATGTGAAATGTTCTCTCTGTACCGCCTGTTCCCATGACAGTTTTTTTCATCAAAGTTGTACAACCTCCAGAGAAAACTTGTCCTTTTGATGGGGAGAGCGGAAGCTGTAGAGGCTGACTCAGCCTCTGGGTCTGTTACCATGAGAACTGATGTGGGTGGCTCTTTGGAGGTCAGTGGTGTTTGGGTATACCAAGGTGAAGTTTTCCAAGTTATTTTGACCAGACGGAAGAAGAGAAAATGTGAGTTTCAGCAGTTGGGAGAGAGTGGGAGAAGGAAAGGATGTGGAATGGGAGGCCAACATTTGTTGAATGCCCCTTGTGTGTTAGGCATTAGATTAGGCACCTTATACAAGTTGTCTTTTTCGTCTTCATAGCACTCCAGGCAGGTAGGTATCATTATCCCTATTTTACTCATAAGGAAACTGCTCAAGGTCATTGAGCATAATAGCAGGTGAGGCTGGGGAGAGAACCCTGCTCTATTTATTCTGTCACACAGCCTGCAAGTGAGGACAGTAACTAGCATTAACCACCCAACCTCAATATCTTGCTCCATCATATAAAATTTTTGTATGTAGCTCTTGCCTCTTCTTCTGTTATGATACTCCTGTGGTCTCTCTACCCTCTCATTGCATCTTGGGGGCACGTTGCTGTCAGTTTAGTTGTCTTGTAGCAAGCACCACTGGACCTTTGCCCTCAGCAAGAAGGTAACCATTTATGAACACTCTTGTCTACTTGGGAGTAGAATAAGAAACCTGGGCAAGCTCTCTTGAATCTTGGTATCTGGTTCCATCCATGGAGATCAGCTAAGTAATTGGCAGCAGGAGTATCTTCTCCAAATGACATCATCTGTTCTTTATGCATGCTCTACTTTGCTAAAAAAGAAAGCCGCCTATGATGACAGCCTTACTAGCGCATAGTGTGTTGGGAAATGGTCCTTTGTACATAGACTTTTTTTGAAAACTAGAATCTTATTTATGTTAACACTTTTACAAAAAGTATTAAATTCAAATGGTGGATGAACTAGAATCAGACCTCAGGCCTGATGTGTTTCTAGAGCAGCTCTAGAGAAGAGAAGAGAGAGTTGGGATTTGCTATAGTGTTGGCTATGCTGTGGGTTCCACCCAGACTCACTCTGAAGGGCCATCCTAGGACTCAGTGAGGCTGGACTCAGGGTAGTGTTATCTCTTGAAGGCATAGAATAAAGTGAGTCCCATTTTGATGTAACACAGAAGTAATTTGTGTTCAGATTCAATATGCATGCCATAATAGAAGGTTCTGTGGCTGCCAAAAAAATGTCCAGATTTTCCTTCCCATATTCCATACCTTCTGCTCAGATGACATAAACTATAAATCATTGCCTTACCCCATTTTATTTATTTATTTATTTATATTAAACAACAACCTCTAGTCCAAGAATATGAGTTTTTTGTTTGTTTTTTGATACAGTTCTACTCTGTTGCACTGGCTGGAGTTTCGTGACCCAGTCTTGGCTCACTGTAGCCTCCACCTCCCAGGCTCAATTGATCCTCCCACCTTAGCTTGCCAAGTACCTGGGGCTACAGGCACGTGCCACCATGCCTGGCTATCCTTACCCCATTTTAAGAACTATTTCTGAGACTTAGTCTGTGCACATTGTTAGAAATTTTGTAAATGTGGGTCTTTTTGGATAAATTAATTCTATCAGTAAGAGACGGTGCATTAAGCTGCAGGTTCCAGCCCGGCAGGGTCTAGTGGGTGTTCTTTTGTGTGCCGAGATGATAGATCTTAGAAAAGAAAGACACAAGAACACAGAGATAAGAAAAGAATTCGGCTGGGCTCAGGGGGCCACTGTAACGAAGGGGTGGAGTCCAACAGTGGCCCAGAATGCCTGGAAGCACTGATATTTATTGTATACAGGCAGGGGGGCAGAGCCAGGAGAGTAACTCATCTGACACGATCCTTAGGGGTCAAGCAAATCACATTCTCACAATACGGGGGGCCACGTGGGTACAGTTTAGGGATCACGTGGGTATAGTACAGTGGGTCACATGGGTACAGTACAGAGGGCCCCTCTCTTTCAGGTAGCTGCTGCAAGGAGTGGAGGCATATATGTCAGTATCTTTCTATGCGCTTATCAGAGAGATCAAAGGCTTCTAGGATTCCTCTATTCTTAATTCTCACAGCCTCTAAGAATTTACAAGGGAGCATCAGATGCGAAAATGGAACATGAAAGTGGACAAGGATGGTGACCATCGGAGCATAGCACCGCGGAGAGGTGTTAAAACCCTTGGATGTCTGTGGGCTGGCCTGGCTAGTGTCAGACCTTCCTCAAGAGCCGGCAGAGTAGAGCTTTCTCTAAAACTCCGCAGTGAAAGGGAAACTCCCCCTACTCCCCCTTACGGCCTGCTAAGCAGCAGGCGCCTCCCCAGACGCTGGCATTACCGCAAGGCCTGCCTGCTAAGGAACACGCACCTTCTCAGGTGCCGGCATTACCGCAAGGCATTTGCTCTCACCTCCTGATCACTTCTCACAAGGTCCCTTCAGTTCCGAATTATATTTCACTGGATTATGTCTATACTATAAGACTGAAATATTCCTACACTAAAGCAAAGATTAATAGACAATAGTGATGTAATAAGATTAATTAAATAATTGATTATGTGATTGAATCTAATTGGTGTCATTGCTATAACTAAGTAATCAGTAAATATGTTTGGTATTATTGCTACGTTTAAGTAATCAGTTATTTATTATACTGTGACAGATTGTGCCTTCAGTCTCTTGCCATGGCACCTGGGCAACTTTCCCACATTATTATGTTGCTTTTTTTTAATATGTGGGAAGAGTCAAAAGCAAACATTAGAACTTGAGTTTAGAAGCACTGATGTGCTTCAGTGGAGTTTCCTAGTCCCAGGGGAACAAGGGGCAGTTGCTTTAGTTAGAGGAATGGCTTCTTACATTTTTTCTGGCAGATCATTATTCCTGATTAACCACTGGATTAATGAACTGTGGAGTAAGTTTAAGGCCTTCTAATACGTTTTTAACAGAGGTAAGAGCCATTTAGTCATATTTATAACTTTTAAAAAGGCTTACATCTGCTCTACATGTGAGATTCACCCCCGCAGTTATTGACTTTGAGTTAACCTGTAAGCCCAGAGGAGCAGAGCACCCTGTTGTATGGGCTAATGAGCTCTGTGTGGGTGCTGGGTAAACAATGTGCATGTACTGCATTGTACCTTGGTAGCCCAATCTCTATCAGCAGGGTAGGTCACACCTAGGGTTCCTGTCCTGCTTCACATGACTCATAGCCAGTTCACTAAAGATTGCTCTCTGCATATGAATATATACTTATTTTTAAAAATATACACTAAAATTACATCTTTCCCACAATTTTTACTAAATTAGAATACTTTATTTGCACACAGATAGTTCCAAAAGACTAAGTTTGACCTTTTTTTGAAAAAAGAATGGGGAATTAGGTGAGAAGAAATGGGATTTGGGTGAGTACAAGAGGCAGGCAAAGAGCGGTTTAATGGCCAAGAAAGTGACCACAGAATTAGTTTAATGAAGTCACTGAATGGCCAGAATCCAGTTAGTTGGACTGGATTTTATTGGTGCTATCTTCATTTCCTAGTGTCTGTTTGTCATATTTTCTGCCAATTTTTACTCAGAAAATTCAAATCCTTGCTTCAGAATCCCAGGACTAGAAACTGATACCTGATTTTCTGACAGCCACTTGGTCCTTCTTAGCTCTGACCCCCTGCTGAACTTGATGTCATTTCTGCCTATCTCTGATATTTTTAAAAGGCAGGCATTGTGACTGGCTAATGTTTGTGAAAACTGATTGTACTAAAGTAAGCTTTACCTTACTTCCTACAGAACCATCAAAGGCATCTATAGGATGGATGTCTTCCCCATTATGCCTCAAATCTACCTAGTAGGAATTTAGATATCAAGCAAAACCGTATATTATTCACTCAGCAAACATTTACTAAGCCTCTTCTGGGGTCCCTTTGTGCAGTAATAAGTCAGGGCAGTGAGAACAATTGAATCGTCATGTCTTCTGAAGAATGACCTAGCCTGAAACTTTCATAGGACTCGAACATTAGAACTTGGACTA